TGAATAAAATTTGCAAAATAATATGATAAAAAGTTACCATTAGCCTTTAATTTCAGTTTAGGCCCAGTCCCTTTATTTCTTTTAACGATTTTTGTGTGTAAAAAATTGTTTGGCAACAGCAATACTACGGCTTGACAAAAGTTCAAAACATTTTGGGATATAAACAAAGTGTGATCCCAATTCAGCTCGAAGGTCCTACCCTAAACCTAAATATTTAAAATAAACCATTCACACAATAATATTTCTCGTTATAATTCAAATAAAAGGTAATTTTTTGAAATTTGATGGAAATCATTACATGATTTTTCCTTGTTGTTTTGTAGCTCATGTTTCAAAAAATCAAATTACCGATATTGTAAAAACTCTAACACCGGAACAAAGTTCAAAAATAAAATAATAAACACCACTAAATAACAATAAAATATTAGAATTTTTAAAAACTAATGTACGACCCCAAGTAGAATATTTTCTGTCAACTCACTTTTTCATTCCGTGACGTCACTTCATCCTTAGCAACCTTGATGAGGCCACCGTGATGTCTACGAACCGTGAGAAAAGATTCTGTTTGAACCAGTGGTTTGAACTTAGAGAATGGAGATGTCTTAATAGTGTCGGTTTACGTCACCATCCTCGTTAGAATAAAGCTATTTAAAGCGAACTATCAAATTTTTTTGGTATATACCTACCACAAAATTTCTTGGTTATTATGTGAATTTATGGAAGGATTTAGTATGCTGACGTTACAAGTGGTAATCGCTTGAACGAAGCGGTAATAACCGTGATTGTAAGTTTGTTTATATTAAATGTCAATTCAATTTAACCTATCTTTTTCATCGTGTTACAGATTTTCATTTAAACTATATTGTTTATTTTTTTACAAGAAAGAATGGATCCAAAGAAGAAACTGGTCCCTGAAGTCTTTCCCTTAGCAATTTCTACTCATCCAATAATCATCTGGCATTTTTTAATATGATTTTATTATTTAATGTTTAAAAAACTCATGCAATCGGGTTAAATGTATCTTATTTGTGTACTACTAGCATGTGCAAAACACTCACTACAGTTGTAACTAATAAGAATTATAAAGCTCTGGAGGTAGGTAAATACAGCAAAATTTTGGCTATAACTTTGACGCAAAACTGCTGATTTATGAAGTCACCCGTAAAATACCAAATTAATGACCAAAGTCACTTGAATGTTGTGGTAATTACCAATCTCAAATGATAAATACCAAATGCTTTTGGTTATTGTTTAAAATTGCCTTTAGCGAATATAATGTGATTTTTAAGCATGTTAATATTTTTGCTGAATGAGTATGAGATCAAATAATGTTAATTAACAGCAATTAGTTACTTTGCAGCTATGTTGTAGCTATGTTATATGTTTGATCGTCCAGCCTTTTAAAAAATGTTGTCGACCCTGTATCAAGTTGCAAAATTGGCTAGTTTCGATTTATTCGGCACTTTATCTTACCAAGAAGTTTAAAAAATAATAGCCCGGTTTTCTGACCTATATTTATAAAGTTGTCTGCATCAGTCAGAAGAAGAATGTTTGGTAACTTAATTGAAACATAGATTGGGCATTAAAATAATACATTTAAAATAGTTTCGATTGCAAGCTTGTGCATCATATTTCACAGTCGAAGGTGTGAAATCACATTAGTTTTATTTGAAAAAATTCAAAGAAATATTTTACTTAAAAGTACAGTTTTTAAAATTACGGTATTTCACACGAATTCGTACATAATGGAAGTAAAAATTAATTGACATTTAAATTACTCGTTTTATATTTTCTAATATTATAACAAGTTCTGTTTATATCTCTAGAAAAATTTTAATTACTGCATGGGGGAAATGTGTGATTTTTTTATACTAAAGTCACAAAACACAATTTAATATAAAAATAGTCTGACAACATCCGTTATTGTTGAAAATCAATAACATTTTTACTTGAAGTAAGTGATCCACAAAGAATGTTTCTAAAGTAGGCATTGGAAAAATGAATGTATGTCGAGCGTATAATCCTTCTTTTTAACTGTTAGTTTGGATTTAATTCAGAGCCGCGCGTAGTTATTTTGAACATAACTCGTATCTCTATCTATATCTGTCTTTGTCGGTCATGGCGTACTTTAGAAATATTTTTTGTGAACCACTCTTTAATAATTATTACTAAGTACTGTTGGAAATGAAAAAATTTTAAAGGTAAAACATTATGTTGTATAACGAGCATTTCTTGCGAGTTGAACACTATACTACAGTTATAAAACACTGCTACCCATTTTTAATTAGTTTCTATAATTTATAAAATTAAAATGACAGCTCTCTTCTAGATTAATAATGGTTAACATTTCATGGCACACATAACTTTGTTAAAATAATTGCAGGATGACTACTTTGTGTTATCAGATAAGGATAAAATGATACTTATAGTTTTCTATACTAGCGGTAGAAAAAATACATTTAATTGTTTAAAACCTATATAATTGTAGAATATCCTAAACATAATTTTATATATTAAGAAGAATAATAGTAATAGTAGTAATAATAGTAACATTCGTCTATTAATAACCATTACATGGAAGTTACAATCACCTTTTTTACGACCTATACTTGTATTTTTATACTTCATAGGCTACAGTACTATCGACATCACAAATTCCGTATTTTCCACTTCAGTAGCTTTTACCCCAACATTAGGTACACATACCTATACTACCCAGGAAGTTATTTTTAAAAATAATAATCTTGATCTCACGACGAGATCCTTCCTATTTTGTTGAGGAAATGCTGTGAAGCATTATCTGTTCCCCCTAGTCCAATATTTTAGAAATATTTTATTCATTGAACTTCCCCGAACATGTGAAAATTTTCCAATTAAATTATAATTCTGAAGTTTGGGGATAAATCTAAATTATAGGGGTATATCTATTATATCCACCATTAATTAAATCAATTCTTACTGATGAAATAGTGCTTCTTTCGAATCTGATATCTCCCCCTTTCAGCATGGATTTTATCAAAAACGTTCTACCGCCACTTACTTTTGTTATTTCCAGGACTATCTGATAACCTCTGTGGAAACTGGTCAACAGGTGAATGCTATTTACACCGATCTGTCGAAGCCATTTGTGACAAATATCATAGCGAGACATAAAGTTTCTCTAGAATTGCATTCTGACTAAGAACAACATTTTGAATCCGAAATATGGCAAGAATTAATGAAATTGTTAGGCATCAGAAAAACACTCAATCGCCTCTTTACCTACAGTCCGACGGAATGGTAGAAAAAAAAAACATAGAACCATATCCCAGTATCTTTCTTAATGTTCGTTTCTGAAAAGCAAGAGGACAGGACACTTTAATTTCTGTATTCCAGCTACCCTGCCGAAGTTTTGAACAAGAATCGACCAGTTATACTCCATATATGATGATTACTGAAGGGAAGATGAATTTTCCCATGATATTCTTTTAGGAAGGCAGCCTTCTGCTAAATAAGATGGCTGTACACCTCCCACGTATATACAGAACTTAAGAGAACGATTAGAAAAAGTTCTACGGATTTGCTAGGGAACGTTTGAAAATCAGCAGCGATAAAGCAAAAGTTAGAATTGACCTGCATTTTGAGAGAAGCAACCCAGTAAGGCTGTACAATCCCAAGCGCTGTAAACGACATTGTCAGAAACTGAAACAGACTAGGAAGGCCCCTATACCGTCCTCAAGAAAATCAACATCTTGATCTACCGCATTCAATCGTCAGCGGGAAGTAAAACCAATGTAGTTCACATTGAAAAGATAGCGCTATACCGTTGGCTCAAACCAGGTTCCGTTAATCAAGTTATTCAGGTAGAATAATTAAAGAAAAGGGAGCAATGTTACCCTGCACCCTGCATAAGTACTAATAAAAGAAGTAGAATAGCCTAGCAATTTCATTCCGTGTCAAGGAACATCTGGATGATTCAAAGTTCGAGAAGGTTCAGGGCTGCTATATAAGTCGATGATCGTGACGTCACAATTTCAGTTTGATAATAGACGTTGTACATTAAAGTTAATACTTGAATATTGTGAAAGTTGAGTTGTTAATAAACATTATTTAACAGCCTTATTAGAAGCATTCTTATACATTGCTCCGTCGTATGGCATCTTATACCTACCACAAAGACAGGATAAAACTATTTTAACGAAAATTTACTAATTATTTACTGTTTAAACACTATTAGTAGACTACTTTTATGTGGCATGCAAAGCCTAGAAACCAAAAGAAGGCATGATCTAGTTCTATCTGTAGCACCTTATTACAATCTGAATAAGAATAATTGCTTAACCGTAGCAGAATTTTATATAAATAAAAATTTCCTGGGTTTATTCGGTCGTTTTTATTTTCTATTGTTTAGCACAGCACTACATATATTTCGAAAAACTTTTCCATCTTCGGGTGCAGTCAACATTTAAAAAATCAGTTAGCTTTTTAACTAAATAACTATGGTCAAAGAGGATTTATTGACGGTATGTGCCTCATTTACAATAAGCTTTTACTCCGACTGTGACTTATTTAATACAACATTGTAAGCGCTGAAGAACAATTTGAAATTTTTAAAATAATTAATAATTTATTATATTAAATAATTAATTATAACTATTTCTATGTATGTGATTTTTTACTGTCTCTGGTTTTTTATGTGGTATTTTTGTGATCTAAGTTGGTTGGTTCTTTGTATATGTATTTTAATTTTAATGTGCACTATTGAGAATAATAATTCTATAGTGTACATATTTAAATAATTAAATAAATAAGTAAATTTAGTTTAAAATTATTGAGAAAATTACATAGGCGTACACAATTGTGATACCCTACTTTACCCTAGGTATCTATCTACCTATCAAATTATACACTTGTTTAATTACCTAAACCACTGCACGTATTTTGTTAATTATTATGCATAAATTTTTGTTTCAGAATCAATATCTCGCACTAATGAAATAACGTTTTAAACAATAACCTAAATGGACTTCAAATTTAAACCAGAACATATTTTTTTACAAAGAAGGACAAATGCGGAATATGTCAAAACCATTACCAGGTGGTTACCAAATGTTAAAGAAAAGTACGTGCCAAAGACTTTATCGGATGAAATGATAGTTTTGTTTTTGTTGTCTTGTACTAATGACATAAATTTAACCAAACATACTATTATTTCTTATTACAAATTGAGGAAAGCATCGCCGTTGATTTTTGATAACAGAAGAGTGGATTGTCCAGAAATACAATCAGCATTAAAAGCTGTGTAAGTAAATACATAGTGTGAAAAGTCAATTTTGTTATTAGATTCTTCGGATATACAGGATATACAGGATGATGCATGCAATAATAATAAAGTGGTGCCACCATTTTTAATATGGCTTGGCAACTTAATGTATAATCTGATACCTATACATACAGTTTGGTGATCGAAAAGTAGTTTGATATCTACTGAAAGGTACTGAATAATTTTATTTTTGTCTGTGTATCATGACTAGGAGCTAAGCTTTTTTTATTATAGTTTTTTATTAAAGATACATATACGGGGGAGGGGGGGAATGGGGTAACTTCCCCCCAATTTAAACCAATTTTTTTATCGCTACTAAAATGTATTATCAAAAATATTACCACTACCCTCTCCTTATCCTTCAACTCTATCCACTACCTATTTATAAGAAATTATATTTTCAATGAAATGCCATGCATATGGTACATTCCCTTTTTAATATTAATGGTCATTCGAGTGTGGCTATCTGCCGTCTCAAGAGCTCACTGTCTGTGAAAGACTGTTCCAAATTGCGCTGGTTGAAAAGAAAGTTCAAATACTGGGTGCAAAATGAACAATTTAATATATATTAAGTTCAATTATAATTTTTCCTGAAAACTTGGCAAAATCCCACTAAATTCAAAAAAAGACTTACAGGGTACCTTTAGACAAAAATACCTAATATGATAAATGAAAATAAATAATTAAATCAACAATGAAGCTTGCTTTAAGTGGCTTCATTTTCATCGAAATGGAGGAAACATAACTTTGAGATATGTCGTCTAAAGATACCATGAATTGTTCCGGGGTCAACGACACGGATTCGTCCATCCCTGCCTGGATATACAGCTGTCACTCTATATTTTGGCCAGATATTTCTAAGATTATAGTCTTTAACACCGATCTTAACAGCTTTCTGTTCGTCATTTCAATTGAATCTAATATGTAGAGTTAGCAAATATTCTGTGATCCATCGACACCAAAACTTGTAAGTTTTGAACAATCATAATGTAAAATGTATTGCTTAATTTCGAGTTTGAAGGTCCTTTGGTGGTGTAATTGTGGATTTGAGATTTGTTTGTACAGACCAGAAATAACAGGAGATATAACATGTAACTACAAACAAATATATATGTTATCTATTATAAAGACATTTTTACTCATAGTTTTATATTATGTATATATGTAGTGTAGTCACTGATCTATAACACAGGCCAACAAAATAAAAATACGTTTTTGGTGCCGAAAATCCAATAACTGATTTTAGATATACTTAATGTGCTGATTCTAATACTACCAGCAGATTTTTCTCTCAGGTCTAGTTTTTGAGATATGGGCTAATTGAATTTAGTTCTAATAAAACAAAAATAAATGTATAAATAAATATCTCTATAAAGTTCAAAATAGAAATTTCTTACTAAAAATTGAAATCTAATTGTCCATATACCTGTAATTGTCCGTGAACCAACCTTTCTACACCTGGTTAACCGGCATTACCTAATCGTATGCACTTATTACTTATTTAACTCCTATAGATGATCCATTCTTCCTATACCTGCTTAGTCCCCACTAGTTAATTTTAGAAACATAGTATACCTTCTGTCTACCTTTACCCTTCTCGATTTAGTATTATTAAGTTTTGTAAATAAAGTTGTGCTATCATTTTGTATAAATTATCGTCTTTGTATAGTGTAAAAATTAAAACAATGACATCCACAAGCAAACGTAGCTGTGTAAACTATGTTTTTTTTTAACTGGCAATGAAATGGTTATAACCAGAGGCGGTTTGTGGCCTAGTCTACGAGAAATATATAGGGGGTTATGATTGACAACCTGTGTTATTTTCAATAAGTCTGTTATTTTATAAGTACTCCGAAATAACAACCCGTTCTCAAATAACGTGTCTGTTAAAAATAACATTACTTGTCGATCATAACTCCGCTAGTTGTATTAAGTATATAGGGTGTGCCAGCCTCCTCGTAGACTAGGCCACGAACCACTTCTGATTATAAAGTAAAATATATACAATATTGCCTATCTTAAGAACTAGATCTGATGACGAAATCTGCTGGCTATTTTGGATTCTGCACCCAAAAATTACCCAGGAACAGTTAAAAAATCGCAGGCACCAAAATGTCTATTGGCTTTTGTAATTATTACAGATCCGTAAGTCAAATGCGGCTCCAGGGAGGGGGGCCATAATGTACATGCCTCCTTGCCCGAGATTAAAATTATTTAATTACTGATATTCTGGCTTTGAGCTAAATTCATTTTATTTCATTTTACATTTATCACATTTGAGTTTTGGTTTATTTTCGTTTAATTATTTAATTCATAAGTTTTTCATTATAAAAATATACTTAAAATGGCCTGACTATTGACAATGGCCTCCTCTGAAAATTTTGCAGTATGAGTGTAGTATATTTTCAATTTTTTTTTTTTTTCAGATCATTTAGTGTGATTCCCAAACCGATAGAACATGAAATAATTCTTTTCATTAAACTACGTGACACTTATTACAAAAACGCCAAAGTAGAATATGCTATTAAAATTATTTGCATGTTGTTGGATGTTTGTCAGGAAGAAAATCCTCCTGATACCATTATCGTTGTCATTGACATGTATGGGGTAAGAAAGTGTATTTAATTTAGCCGTTGATCTTTCTTCCTGCGTTCTTTTAACGATGATTACATATGTTGATTAATCACATTAATAATAATTAATTTTAAGTTGTTTTATTATAGTTCGGTGTGATGCATATGACAATGTTACATATAGAAGCTTTAAGAACAATCTTCGCTTACGTACAAGAAGCTTGTCCTATTAAACTAAAAACTATTCACTTTGTAAACTCCAATTTCATGTTACAAAAAACCTTGTCGTTTTGCAAAATATTCATGAAACAGGAACTAATTGAAAAAGTAAGTATATTATATTATTAACCCTTAACGCTAAAAGTATGGTACACTCCACGAAACATGCATGATCAATAAGGAATGTCTACTCGATCACACGAAATGATCTGTAGCAATTAATCGATAACATTCGATATGTCGTTATGATCGAATTTAGAGTTACATATAGATTATTTGCGATATACATTAAAATAATAACTAATAAAGCTTTTAATAAAAAAATTGATAATTGCTTATCTGTCGGAAATCAGAAATAAAAGAGATATTGATATCAAGAAGTTTGTTCAATAAATAGATTATAATATTGTGACGGCCCACCCCCGGCCCCCCTTCTTTATTTTACTTTTGCTCTCTTTGAAATGGTATTATTTACCTCACAAGTTATTTTACTTTAAATTCTATACTTACTGTATTTGGCCTTTTTCCTCTAGTAGTAAAAGTGATCGTCTAGTTAATTAATTGATATTTTATGTACCCACGTTGTGATAATGTTAATTAAGGTAAACCAGAATTCGATGCAAAGTTTGGTGCAAATTGATAAATAAAACCACTCTTTTATTTTTCATACTTTAAATGTGATGCAATATTTAGCAAAGTATATTACAATTGTTACTATTTACTGAGATCTCACTTGAGTCCCGTTCAAACGCAGACCATATTCATTTGCTATCAATATATATTTTATTTAGGTTGATGACCGACAGAGTTAACAAACAGCGTTAATTCGCCAGTTGATTAACTATAGTGTTGTTGTTTATATTCTGATTTAGGTTGCTGACCAACGGAGTTAACGAACAGCGCCAATTCGCCAGTTGGATAACTATTGTGTTGTTGTTTATATTCTTATCTAAGTTGAAGACCAATGAAATTAACGAACAGCGCCAATTCAGCAGTTGGTTAACTATTGCGTTGATGTTGATTTGATTCTATTCTAAATATATACAGGTTGCACCCTCTTAGGTAAATATTACGATGAGTATAGAGGTGATGACCAACGGAAGTAACAAACAGCGCCATTTCGCCAGTTGATTACCTTACTATGTTTATTTCTCATATACTTTGTTTCAAATCTTGTAGAACGGGTTGCTTAGCGTATAGGTGTCCCCTCTTGAGCTAAAGAACAGCGTATTCGCCAGTTGGTTAACTTACTATTAAATTTTACCATCTTGGTTTTTACAATTTATCCAAGATAGCACAACCCTGTATATTTCCAAAATATTGATTTTTATAATTTCTATTGACATGACTTAATATAACCCTGTATATTTTTTTATATTGATTATTATAATTTCCATTGAAATAACTTAATACAACCCTGTATATTTCTTAATATTGATATTTATAATTTCTATTAAAATACTCAAAATTTCACCCATCGAACACAGATGTCTATCCTGTCTTTCGGGGTGTATGACCTGAAGGCCATGTGGTTTATTGATAATATTTTACAGCAAATGTCAAGCCTGCCCTTAAACGAAACCCGGGTGGTATCTTAAAGAAAGTTACATAAATCTTTTGACTCACCACTGAAAATACAGACATTAGATTATGTACTAATTTCATCTAGCGATGTGACGGCGTCGATTACTGTACTGTACTGTACTGTATTGGGACAGATATACGGTAGAATTATGTAGGTGGTGCGGGATGTGATATTATGAAGGAAATATTTGGGAACGGCAAGCGTCGGAAATAAGGCGTGGGACGTTGAGCGTCGAAATGAGTGTACGGTAGGAAATACTTAGATGGTGAGGAATGTGACAGCGTTCGAGACGTAGGGAGTAGGACGGCAGGACGTTGGGCGTCGAGACATTGACACCTTTGGGAAATAGGAGGTATTGTGGGATAGACGTCGTTTAGGAAGAGCGTTTAGGAAAGGTACAGACTATATAACTGGGTACAGACAATAAAGTGATTGCTTGAATGTAAAATAACAAAATGTATGCTTACACATCAAATGATCAAAATTGAATGCCCTGAGCTCCTTTTGGTCAAACTTTTTATACACAGTTTAATTGTTTTTGTGACGTCTCTATCGTTTTAGTTCTCATAGAAAATACGAATGTGGGTGCAAAAGGGGGTGGATTATTTATTATGTGCCTTGAAAGCTTTGTGTATCAAAATATTGTCGAAATAGGTCTTAACATCGAATCTCTCAAGATAAGCGAGTTAAGTGTTTTAATGATAATTACTTCGTGAAAGAAATGTTTTCTTTGGTTGGTTCTCAGAGACACGTGGATATATTACGGACGTGGTTATAGCTATTATTTATTAAGTGTCGTAAATAAGATTTAATTTTCTGGGAGATTTTTCGTTAAATGAAGGATTTGGAATTTAATAAGAATGCAATATTATATTTAATAAATGGAATTATTAAATTATTAAGGTACCTGGGTGCGGTAGGTTACAATATTCTAATTGATTTTAATAAATAAGTCTGAAAATCGAGATGTCAAATATATTTAATGTAATTTTATATGTAATGTAACAAATTGTAAAATAATATTTAATTTTGTTTGGTTTACCCTATTGAATTATTTGAACCCGGTTTCACAAAATCTTGGTCTATTTTTCCCAGATCATGTACGTCACATATATTTTTTAAAAATGATTTATGATAAGGAATAGTACTTGGCATACCTTTTGTTTCTTAACTGAAACAACATGATTAAGAATAAGTATCAGTATAATAAAATCCCCAAAAACTCCGACATACTAAAATCGTCCAGTCTAACCCAACTTTACCCCAACTTATTCTACAATACGACACTGGCGGATAAATATTCTCGAAGTCGTCCGACGGTGTTTGACGTTTACTACCTCTCCAACTGCCAAAGTACTATCCAACTTCTATCTAAAGCAAAATATTGTAAATTTGATTATGTGACTTTGGGGAGTGGGTGGCTCAGTGGTTAAAGTCTTGACTTGCGAATCCAAGGATCTGCGGCTGGAATTCCACCGATGCGATGTTCGGAATTTTTTTATTTCATTTATTTAAAAATAATTCTGATGCATAATATGTAGAATTCCCTACAATCATTCACTGTTGGGTTCTAATTAACAATGCTGTTCCTAAAGTGGCGCTAGGACACAGTAACAAGACCTGTCTGTAGGGGGTGCAGGAGTATTAAAGTACTATCACTACTGCAATATGGAGTATTAGACTACTAGTACTCCATGACCTACATAGAACACGAGGCTAATGGCCTAAGTTGTCGAAACCGAAAACCCAAATGAAAACAAACAAATAATGATGTAAACAAATACCTATGTCTAAATTTTTATTTTAATTATTAAATAATGTGCGACAGCGATAGTTAATTTTGAAATGTTTTCTTTTTAGATACATAGCCATAAAGGTATAGACGGCCTATCTGATTTCATTTCAAAAGAATATCTACCACAAGACTATGGTGGAGATCGACCATCGACTGAAGAACTTCGTAAAACAGTTTATAAAAAATTTGAAGACAAGCAGACATTTTGGGAAGCCGAAGAAAATATGAGGAAACAATACTATTGTTAAATTTTTTATTTGAAAATCCTAATGTTTTAATACATTATATTGTATTTTAAGAAACTAAAGCCATAGAACTGTAAATCAATGAAATTTAAACAAATTAACAAAATGCCCTCTTACTTCTAAAACACTTTCTACATCTGACATTGGCAACCCACTGGAAGTTTATTTCTTAAATTTTATTTTTACATTATTTTATTGTAATCAGTCGACGTACAATCCTATCTGCCTAACTGTGCTGATTTTAACAAACCATTCCCTCACTTGTAGACCTACAGTTTGTTAGGACAGTGCGCGTCGCTCGACGTACGCGTACGGCAGAATCTGTCGCGTTCGACTTACGTCAGTTTTTGTAGAAGTGATTTATTAGAATATAAATCAGTTCAACTCAACTTGTTCTATTAATACATACAGATAAAGATGAGTTCCACTAATTTAAATAACGCATTATTATAGGTTCGATCTTTTGAACTAGTTCGTTCGCGAACTACACACCTATTACACGCAAAAACCAACGAGTTTCCCGCTCCGCCTTTCACTGTATACATCGTTTCGCCTCTCGTCACTCCAAGCTTCGAACAGTCAACATACCTCGGAGTCTGAACATATCGTTCTGGCTATATAACACCACCCTTTTTCGACTTTCGATCAACTTACTTCGTTTTGCAAACCATAATTACTAGTATGAACCCAGCTAGCACATAACGTTGCCAAGCCTTTCGGCAATGTTGCTTTAAGGGAACGTAATAACATTATTATACAACGTAAATGCAACGTTCATGGAAAGTTGTTGAGGGAAATCAAAACCACGCAAAACTTTTATTTGTTACTTATCTATTTAACCTACCTGTTATGTTAACAGAACATAATAAAGTAATTTGCTAAAAAAGTATCCACTAGAAGTACTGGGAATATCACAATCTGATTCAGAACGTTTATGTCAATTTTTCTTATAATATGTCATGTTTCAGTTGTTTTTTTTTTTGTTTTTTAACTTGCAGAATTTATTTTATAATTATTATTTAAACATTTGAGTAGAATTGGTAAGGATCCTCTATAAAATAGAAAATTATTTTCTGAACCATTTTCTTCGTTTTAGATTACAATGCCTATTGTAAATTTTATCAAAATGTCCAGGAATATTTGGATCATATTTTTGTAGAAGTTTTCGACAGAAGGACCTGGACCTGGCTTATAAAATTATAAAAATGTCCGGGAATATCTGATAACCTTTTTAGGAGCTAGATAGAAGAACTTGGTTTATGAAATATAAAATAATGACCTTTTTTTAGAAGCTCGACAGAAGGACTTTGTTTATAAAATTATAAGCTAAGCACTTTTTTTTTAGAAATTTTACAAAGGTACGGTTTTTGTGAAATGAAAAGGTGGCAACCCTAATACAAAATGGTTTAACTACAATAAAAACAAATAATGGTAGATAAACGTCGGTAAACGAAAAGAATAACATTTAACTGAATGTCCAGTTACATTTTACTTATAAATACTTATGAAAGAGATATACAAAACTAAGTTGCCACGTTACTGGTCTATCCAAGGATATAAGTGGTGACAGTTAATCCTTTTTCCCTAGCTGGCTCTTAAAATTTAATGATTCGGAGAGTGAAGGGATTAATAAAAGTATATCTATATAATATCTCTTTTAGCTCATGCACAATTTATCCTGGGGTTTTTAACCCCCTACAAATGGTTATTAAAGCTGTTAATGTGTTGATGGTATTAATGATACGATACAATTTATCTTATGGTCCCCCTTTTAGTACTAGAAGGTGCACAGGTGAGTTTACATATTTAATTTTTCAAATTTATCTGCTATAGTTTATATTTATTTTAGAAAATAATTGAAACTAGCTACTACTTCTAAATCTGGAGAAATAGAAAAAGATAAACCTTACTTGTGGCTGAGAAGTTATAAATCTTACTGCAATCAAACTTCAGCAAGGGGCTGCAAGTGAATCGCAGCTATATAAATTGAGATTCCTATGCATGTCGCTAACGTATGTGTTTTAGGTAATATTTCAGTTAAACAAAAGACCCACTAAGTTATTAGAAAAATAATTATTCAGTAGATAATTACAGTAAATGTTAAATAAAGGCCTAAAATAAAATAACACTATTTGTGTGTGATTTTAGGGAAGCATGGAGAGGTCGAACTTACCACAGATGTAAGGGGCCCTTCTTTTACAAGGAACAAAATCCACAATATGTGATTCCATTTAAACGAAACGTTCCTTGTAAGAATTGAGATGATGGTTTACTTAATGGCTAATTAAATCTGTAAATTCGAAAACTTAAACCCAGGTGGTTCAGAAACAAGCCATTTTCATTAACCGGTCAGATATGAGAATACAAAAAAAGTATAAAAAATGGAGGTTTTATTTAAAACAACAAAGTAAGGCAAAATTATCTAAAAATAAGTGCAACAATTTAAACTTGAGCATCTTTTTTTAATTTCTATATAATTTTCTTTAATAATAGTTAAACAAGTAGGTCAATCTCTTTTTTATTCAATGTGTTGTGGAAAAGTAAAATCATTTTAAATAAAAATATAATAAATTGTCATATGTTATAGCGTAAATAAAAATATTTCCAAGCCATGTACCTAACTACAATAAAATAATTTTTGTTCGCCTTTGCATAAATAATAAACTAACAAAATAAAAATATCTATACAAAAAAAAGTTAAAAGGTTTGATTTTAAAAAGATGATATATCTCTGCGAGTACAGTTAAGCAATCTGGGAACTCAGCTATCTCGTATAATATATAACTGGTCATTGTTGCAATCATCTATTATTCACAGATCTAGTTTTTTTAGCATAATACAATTGCCATCCTGAAACGTACCTTATATAAATAATATATTTTGTACAATCGTTCACTGTCACTGTTTAAGCTTCTAGTGAACCTTTGCAATATTGATACGTTTATACTATTAAGCTAATTTTGTCCAATCGTTCAGTGCTTTATAGGTGGCTTCTACTATCGCACATGTGTAACTGCGTTTGTGATATACCTACCTCTACTTTTCTTATATTACTACTTGATTTCAAGAACATTTTAATAATAAATTTATAAAAATATTTTGTTTTATTTGAAATTTCCATGTCTCGATTGAGTTTTTACTATACCTCAATTTCAGTCTTTCTGTATTACATTACACACAGAACAATATAATTATTATAATTATACTTGTAAAAATATTTATTTTAAATTAAAAAAAAGTAATTTTTCATAATTTCTCTATGTGAATCGAATTTATTTAACAAGCAAAATAAATTATAAAAAATTACTTTTCTAATTTAAAATAAATATTTTCACAAGTATAGTTAAGTCCATCCGTGGACACACTGTATAATGCTGTAGAGCTAATTAACATTATAACATCTATAGAACGTTTCAGAGCTACTTTCGGGGTAAGTACCATAAAAGTGCCTTGTGATGTTTTCCGAACTTCACTTTGTAACCTTTGTGAGATGTGCTATAAAAGTCTTGCCGTTGCGGACATTCGGCGGTTGCAGGGATATTAGGGTTACATTAAAAGTACATCACATGCGAGCTTAAAGAGCCTAAAATTGCAGCTTCTTATTAACGTAGATGGAATGTTTTTGAGCTAGCTAGGAAGTCTTAAGTTTTCTACAAGCAATTAAATTGTCCATTTTTAAAGTTGTGCAAATATGTATATGATTGCGTTCTTCGTTTTGGTCTTCAAATAAGTGAGACGACGCTTTTGCGGGAGGCGCTTGATACGGTTTCACTGCTTCAAGCGAACATGGACTCCATCTCACCGAGATATATCTTCAATAAGCCATATAAAGTTAGAACGAAACAAACAGAAAAGCCGGAAGTGGCACTTACAATTCATATCTTCACTGACAGTTCTAAAACAAAACAAGGTTCAGGATGTGGAATATACTACAATCCTTAAATCTAAATATAAAATGGGTTTTGAGCAATAGTGCCGGTGTGGTTCAAACCGAGCTTACCGGGATTCTCATAGTAGCAACAGAAGTTACCAGAAACAATATCACTGGAAGAAATATGTCATTAAGCTTTGGCCCAAGTGTCCTTCAACAATGTGGTAACCTTAAGATGGATGAAATGTCACGCCACATATAAAGGTAAACGTCTTGCAGATTCATTAGCCAATAAGGCAGCCAATCAAATACTTTTTAGGACCTGGCCCTTCTATTGGACTGACAACATCGGTAGTGACAGACCTAATCAAAGAACATTCCTTTGTTAAATTTAAGGAAAGATGGGATGAAACAAAAAACTGCAGTGTTTCCAAGGAGCTGTTAAGTTCCAGACAACACTACAGCAAACAAATACTTGACTATGACTGGAAGCATCTCCATTGCATCTTTTATAATCTGCACTCTGCAGGGGGTGCCAATAAGAAGATGAGACCATCGAGCACATTTTCTACGTTATCAACTACAATGAAACTGTAGGCTGGCTCACGAGCTAGGAGGTGCCTATCAATTTAGGAGGATATACAAGAGACCTAGTTAGGCCTAAGTGCTGTGGGGTAGCACACCCTCCACACTTTATATATTTCAATAACTGAAAAAGTTGCTGTTGTCACTAGCCACTCTATACAAGACTAAGAAATTAGTATAACAAAGAGAAACTTACCTTTAACTTCAGACGTTAAAAGAAAAATTGATAATTCCATTAAAAGCGATATCAAAACTAGTTAAATATGTGAACTGTAGTTTTTCCGTTCCTCATCTTTAAATTCATCTGACTCTGAACTAGAATACCAACATTCAGACGATTCAGAAAATTTTTAAAAGGATGGTTGTTGGATTTGTAGATTATTAAAAGTTGAACCCAACACAAATTATAAATACGACTATAAGGCTTGCTTACCAAGTGGACTGTCTCCTTTTGGTGCTAGCTGCAACCATCTCCATACGGATAATAAAATTCCAACAATTTCGTAAAAAAATAATTTATTGTTCAAAAACGCAACTTTTAAATTTG